TAACTGACTTTTATAGAACACTCTAAACAACAGCAGAATACACATTCTTTTCAAATACTCACAGGTCTACCAAGACAGATCACATCCTGGCCATAAAACAAGCTTCAACAAATAAAAAAAATGAAATTACATAGAAAGATTTTCTGACTAAAATGGAATCAATGTAGAAATTACAAACTCCTAAAAAAGAAATCTCCAGGCCCAGATGGTTTCACTGGAGAATTGTACTGAAGAAGAGAATTAACACCAATTCTATACTATCTCTTGCAGAAAATAGAAAAAAAATATTTCCAAACTTATTTTATAGGGTAATTAGTGCCCTGATGCTAAATGCTGATGATGACAGTATGAGAAAGAAAACTACTGACTAATATTCATCATGAATATGGAAGCAAAAATCCTTAAGAAAATATTGGCAAGTTTAGGGGCTTGGGTTGTGACTCAGTGGTAGAGCATTTGCATCGCATGTGTGAGGCACTGGGTTTGATTCCTAGTGCCACATATAAATAAAAAAAATAAAAGATCCATTGACAACTAAAAAATATATTAAAAAGTTAAAGAAAAATCATATATATTAATATATAGCATATATACTAATACTGATGCATATGTATAGTATATATTATATATATCAGCATTAGTATATATACATTCATAGTGATATTAATATCAACTGAATCAGAAATAACACTTGACAAAATTTAAACACATTCATGATAAGACTTTTAGAAAACTAGGATTACAGATGAGGCACTCCTTTAAATTGATGGAAAAAATATAGAAAAACCTCTACAAAAACCTACAGCTAACATCATACTTAATGATGAAAAATGGAATGTTCTCTCTCTAAGTTCTGGAATGAGTTGAGGATGTTTGCTGTCACCACTCTTATGCAACATAGTACTGGAAGTCCTAGCTAGTACAATAAGGCAAGAAAAGTAAATAAAACATATATAGACCAGAAAAGATGAAACAAACCCGTCTTTATTTGTGTATGGATGGTCAATGTAGAAGATCTCATGGAATCTGCCAAATAATCCTTAGAACTAATAAATGAATTCAGCAAAGTCACAGGATATAATACCAAGTATGAAGGGCTGGGGTTACAGCTCAGTTGGTAGAGTATTTGCCTAACATGCACAAGGTCCTGGGTTCAATCCCCAGCACCACACACACACACACACACACATACACACACACAAAGATCAAGTATGAAAATTAGATGCATCTCCATATACTGACAATGAACACATGGTAAACCAAATTAAAAATATAATTCCAGGGGCTGGAGTTGTGGCTCAGTGGTAGAGCATTTGCCAGCATATTTGAGGACCTGGGTTCGATCCTCAGCACCACATATAAGTAAATAAAATAAAGGCATGTGTCCAACTACAAATATATATAAAATTGCAGCCAGGGGTAGTGGTGCATGCCTGTAATCCCAGAAACTCAGGAGGCTGAGGCAGGAGAATTGTAAGTTCAAAACCAGCCTCAGCAACTTAGCAAAGTTCTAAGTGTCTTAGTGAGATCATTTCAAAATAAAAAAAAAATTAAATAAGTCTGGGAAGGTGGTTCAGTGGTTAAGTGCCCTGGGTTCGATCCCTGGTAATAACAATAATAATAATGAATAATAATAATAATCTATATCTATATCTATCTATCTATCTATCTATGTATTTCTCCATTCATGATCACTCACAAAGAAAGAAAGGGAGGGAGGGAGGAAGGAAGGAAATAAGGAAGGAAAGCTGGCTTATATATAAAATCTGTTTAGGGTCTGTATGCTGAAAATTAAAAAGTGTTATTAGAAGGAAGTAAAAGAAAATCTAAAAATGGAGAGACATACTATATTCATGGATTGGGAGACTCAACACATATAGTAAAGATGTCAACTGTCTCCAAATTGATATATAAGCTTAATATAATTCCTTTACAAATAACAAAGATTTTTAAAATATTTTTAGTTGTAGATGGACACAATACCTTTATTTTGTTTATTTATTCATTTTTTATGTGGTGCTGGAGCTTGAACCCAGTGCCTCATACATGTTAGGCAAACCTTCTACCATTGAGCCACAACCCCAGCCCAAGATCTTTTGAGGAGATACAGACAAGATTATTCTAATGCTTATATGGAAAGTTAAAGGAACAAGTCTAGCTAAAATAATTTTGAGAAGAAAAAAGTAAGAAGAATCACTCTGTTTGATTTTAAGATTTATTATACAGCTATAGTAATCATGATTGTGGAGAATAGATACATAGATCAATGAAACAGAAGAGAAACCCTGGAGAGAGTGAAATAGTTGCCTTAGAGTAAAAGGGAATTTTGGAGAGGTAGGTGGTTCTGGGGAGACACCTGAATTTTCTGCCTTTCTGCCAGACAGAAGAGGTTTACATTGTGAGTCAAGGGATGATTTGCTTTTCAAGATAAATGGAAGTACCCTGGAATTTCTATTCAAGATAAATGGAAGCACCCTGGAATTTTTAGGCGGACCTAGAAAGGAAGTAGCACCTGAGACATTAAATCACTCATCCTCTAGTCCATTATTGTTCTAGGTGCCTGCAGGTGTAGTGACCATATTTTATAAACCAAGAATTTGGACATAGGTCTGACAAAAGATTATTGTCTTTTTCTTAAAAATCCCTTCCAAACATGGATTGATTTTTCCTGACTACAAAAGTAATACATGTACATGGCAGAAAATTTGAAGAATAGTTTATTTTAGCTAGACTTGTTCCTTCAACTTTCCATATTAAAAAAGAATAAAGAACAAATAAAATAACAGTCATGGTGGCAAAGAGACTTGGGAACTGAGACTTGGGAAACTGAGGCAGGAGGATCACAAGTTTGAGGCTCTAAGCAACTTAGTGAGACCCTGCCTCAAAATAAAAAGTAAAAATAAAGGTTGAGATGTGGTTTAGTAGTAAAGACTCCCTGGATTCAATTCACAGTATTATTAAAAAAAAGAAAAACAATTACCCATAATTCCAATCTTATATAACTACTATTAAACCACCTTGGTAAAGTTTCACTGAAAATAACTACTGTTAGAATTTCCTTCTAGTGTTTTTCTGTACGTATACATAAACTCACTCACTCACTCACACATACACATTATATATGTTTACAAAATTGAGATGAGATGGTATTAAAACATTTTGTATCCTGGTTTTTTGATTAACATTATTATCTTGAGCATATTCTTATGTCATCAAATTATTTTTAAAATTTACATTTTAATTGGTTGTAACACATTTTTCCATATAGAGATCCTATGTAGAATCAGTACCACACCTCAAATTCAGTATACCAAAACAGAAAACATTAAGCATGTTTCTGTAAAACCATGGCCCTCCCCCAACAGCTTCCCATCCCAGTTAATATCCAATCTGGAAATCTTAAGAGTCATTTTTACTTCTTCCCTTCTCCTTGATCCTCTTAAAATGACACATCTCTAACTGTTGGGGATATGCTCTTCATAAAAGAGTCTCAGCTCGGGTTGGGGATGTGGCTCAAGCGGTAGCGCGCTCGCCTGGCATGCGTGCGGCCCGGGTTCGATCCTCAGCACCACATACAAACAAAGATGTCATGTCCGCCAAATATTAAAAAATAAATATTAAAATTCTCTCTCTCTCTCTCTTTCTTTAAAAAAAAAGAGTCTCAGCTCCTCCTCCTCACCTTACCACTCCTGTTCTTGCCTCTACCCCTTGAACTATATATCCCAAATATCACTATATCAAATTTTGTTCTAATTCCAGAACCTACAATGGGTCTCACTTTACCATATATGATATGGACTAAATCAGCCTGAAATTCAAGGGAACCTACAATCTGTCCCTATCTTTACCATTCTTCATTTCCCTTGCTTATGATTGTATCCTCACTCTGATCTATTCAAATCCTCTAAGTCTTCAGAAAGTTGTCTCCCTAAAGTCTTATTCCCCAGCTGGTTTTATATAGTATGAGCTCCAGCTAAAATCTGATCTGTTCAAGGGGGTTAATTTTGTCTTTTCATCCAGACTTCTCAGCAATTTATCAGCAGCAGGGACCATGTTCTCAACTTCTCTTATGGCTTTTATGGCATCAAGCCATAGAAGGGGAGGAGGTTAAAAAATGTGTGTCAGCCAGGTGTAGTGGTGCACACCTATAATCCCAGCTACTTGGGGGCTGAGGCAGGAGGATCATGAGTTAGGGTCCAGCTTTAGCAACTTAATAAGACTCTGTCACAAAAAGGGGAGCTGGGGATATTGTTTAGTGGTGGAGCACTTGCCTAGAATGTGTGAAGTCCTGACTTTCATCCCCAGCATTGCCTACCCAAGAGGTGATTGATTGAGCTGGGTTTAACGTGGAGATATACTCATACCTCTTAAAATAAAGCTGGTTCAGAATTCATTTGGGGAGCCTGGGTAGGGAAGGAAATGTTTAATAGGGGTGATTGAAAAAAATTAAGTGAGAGATGTAGAATTGGCTTGACAGGTTAATGCTTCCAAGTGGAAGAAGAGCACCGGGCCTGGGTTCAAATCCCAAATGCACTGCTTATTTGTTCCACGACTATGGGTGTCTTACACAATGTCTTTGGGTACCAGTCTCCTATATCACAAGGAAATTTGAGGTTTAAATGAGATAGTGTCCATCATAGGATTTTTTTTTAAAGATAGAGGGGAGAGAGAGAGAGAGAGAGAGAGAGAGAGAGAGAGAGAGAGANGAGAATTTTTTTTTAATATTTATTTTTTAGTTCTCGGCGGACACAACATCTTTGTTTGTATGTGGTGCTGAGGATCGAACCCGGGCCACACGCATGCCAGGTGAGCGTGCTACCGCTTGAGCCACATCCCCAGCCCCCATCATAGGATGTTATTTTGTATGCTTTCAATAATGGTAGTTCTCATCTCATGAATTTAGGAAGAAATTTCAAATTTTCATAAATAACCTGCCAATAGTTTTCAAGGTTTAGTAAAAGCTTCTAAGTTACCATAACATCAGGGAACAGCATCGAGTTTTATTTTAGAACTTGTAAAAAATTTAGTATGATATTTTTATAGCTTATTTTTCTGTTTAACAGCAACAATGGAAAACCTTTCTATTTCTTATATTCTTTTTTGGGGGGTGGTGGTGCTGAGGATGAAAACCTAGGACTTTGCGCAAGCCACCTAAGTGCACTACCACTAAGCTACACCCCAGCTTCCATTCATTATACCTTTTAGTGAAGCAGGAAGGAAAGGAAGTCTTCAATGGGGAATCCTGGGTACTTAATAGTCCTATAAAGGACCACAGGGAAATGGAGAATACAGAGAAGGCAGAGCTGAGGAAGGGAGAATAAGGCGTGGATGTCACAGAGACCTTCACTTGATGTCATGCAAATTGTTTCAAGTCATCCTCCATAATCCTGCTTCCAAGTCCTCCTAAAATGTCCTAAAGCAAATGGTCAATCTGCTTCTCAGGAAGAAAGGGAAGGTATGCGAAGAAGCCATGTTTCCATGGAGTAGAGTCCCCCGAGGCAGAAGCACTGCTTCAAGCTTGGGGCTTCAGCAGGCCTTGAACATGCCCAGACCTGAAGTCCCAAATGCTAGCCCCTAGAAGGATGTCAATCTCAGCCTTCAGGATACCTGAGGAGATGATGTCCTGAAGAGGGTTCTCTTGAAAACATTCCTCACAAGATGTGCAAGTCTCAGCTTGGGGCTGTGGAATAACAAATAGCAGACTGTGGCCGGGGCTATGGCACACTTCAGGCAGTAGGAGCGGGTGAGCTGGCCTTTTCAACCTTCTTTCCTCTTGTCCTTCCCTATTTAGCTCTAAACAAAGCTGGAAGCTTCAAATTACAATATAATGGGGGTGATGGAGACATGGCAGGATGGAGGGTTGGTGAGAGTTAAAAGGCCTAGGTCAGGGGCCAGAACTTAAAGGGTTGTTTATGGCAGCCTTCCTCCCATTTCCAGTGAGACAAGAGATTTCAGGTGCTTTGGATCGTCACATGGAAGGAGCTGGGTGTGCATTGTGGGATGGCAGGGGTTTTACTAGGGGTGACTGGAAAAAGCAGTCAGGGGATGGTGAGTTGATTTGAAGGTAATGCTGCCAAGGAGAGGAGGGTCACCAGAAAGGCCAAACAATTTGACTCCAGAGCTCCCATTCAGACAGAACTGGGTTCAAATGTCTGTTCTACTGCTTGTTAGCAGTGGAAGGGCACACTGGAGGCCCTTCATAATTACTTGCTGAATGAATAGAGCCCTTGGCCAAATCATTTGTCCTCTCTGAGCCTCAGTTCCTCATCTGGAAAACAAATAGTGGCTATTATTCATATTATTTCATCTGTGATCTCTCTCCCCATGTCTGTATCAGTTTGTGGGTCCATCTCCCCAACTTTGCAAAATATCGAGGCTGCCAAATCAAGTAAACCTCCTTACTAAGGGTTGGAAAGGATAGATTGTGCTCAAGGCCTTGCTCTTCCCCCTCCTGTTCTCCCCCACTTTCTCTCCAGATCCCATTTGTTTCTCTTTCAATCCCAGGCAAACTTTGGGGTATAGTTCTGGGAACACAGAGCAAGTGTTGAAACCTCCAGTTACAACTCCAATACTCCATCACATACTTACAAATACACAATGCACCCTCCCCGCCCCCCTCCCCAGAGGGTTGGTTTGAGCTGCAACATGAAGCTCTGAGCCCCCGATGGGCCCCTACTTGATTCAAATGTCAGTGGTACATTTGAATGTACTAGAAAACCTCCTACCTCTACCCCCATTTCCCCATGCAGAGCTAGCCAGGCTTGCAGAGCTGGTCCCCTCTGGGGACTGATCACATCAGTACTGTTCCAGCTCTGGAAGGTTCACTGTGAGCTAATTTCTCTGGAGTATGTTAACCAGAGGAAAGGCAAACAACTCTGAGCATGTGAAGATGGTGTGAGAAGGATGATTCTACAGTAGTAGTCATGAGCTGGGATAGCTCATTGGCACGAGAAGAGCAATTTGCAAGAGCAAAACAGAGCTTTTCTCTGTATAAAACAAACAGTTTGAATGGACTCTCCATGGTTTTATTTTATTTATTTATTTTTTTGTATTTTCCCCTTTTGGAAAGACAAATGGGCAGAAAGAGTGGAATAAGATGAGGTCAAAATTTCCCTGCATCTTTAATCATTCTGCAGTATGTGGAATGCATCTCTGTACGATGATCCTTCTTGGGTTTGATTTCCAATAGGCTAAAATCTCATCTTTTGTGCTTCTGAGGGATGTGGTGAGAAAAGGAAAAAAACCCAAGCTCAAAGGATGATCAAATTCAACTAGACCTGCTGGCTAAACTCCCTTGCACAGTGGAGCTGAATCAATTTACTCCCTCACTGCCATCTCACCTCCCCAAATCAACCCCTGCCTCCCCACCTGGCTCTGTTTTTTTTGAGTCCAGTGGAAGTGGGGGAAGGGGAGGCACAGAAATGGCCACTTCTCTGAGGTTTTTACATGCAAGAGCAAATGACAGTCTTGGAGACAGGTTCAGGAAAATCTTTCAGAATGCAGAAAATTCAGCAGCCTTTCCACACTGACCATTGTCATGGCAACGCACTATCTGATGGCAGCATGCGTCACCAGGCTGAGGGGCACAGTATCAGTATAGCAGGTTAGCCTGGCCATTTTTAGCAACATTAAACTTCTTTTTAGCCCAATTTCTTCTAGGTTGAGATGATTGTCTTTTTGGTTCTGGACTTGGTGATCTGCTAATTCTCATGGCTAGAGCACAAGACTGTTTGTTAATGTGAAGGGGATGGCTAAATGGAAGAGCTCAACATTCCTAGTAGTCTACAGCCACTCTACTCGCTGTCCACCCCCCCCTCCTCCTCACCCACTCTTAGCCACTTTGCTTTTCTCCTCCGGATCAATTCTTTCCCACACACAGCATTATCTCCCCCCCTCCAACATGTGACTCATCTACCAATCCCTGTACTCTCAACATATTCTTTTCATTTATTTTCTATGCTCTCATTGTAATGCACAGTATGCTAGAATCTCAGAGTTGGAAGAAACCTTAACAATAATTTAGTCCAATCACTTTCCTCCAAGACAGGAGTCCCTCTGCAGTATGTCAGACAAGTGACTGTCTAGCCTCTATTTGTATATTTCTAGTGACAGAGACTTCCTCCTGTTCCACTTTGGACAGCTTTGATTGTTAGAAAATGATTCCTTCCATTGAAAAAAAAAAAAAAAACCTCTTTTTAATAATATCTGCCCGTAGTCCAGCTCTGTGCCCTGTGGCCACATAAACCCTGTCTATGTCCTCTGCTCTGTGATAGCCTTTCAGAGATATGAAACAAAGATCACGTCCCTCTGAGGCTTCTCTTGTCCAGAAAGCCCCAGCTCCTCTAACCAGACCTCTTGGAGCCCGGGCTCCAGTCTTCTCCCCAGCCTGACTGACCTCTTGGAACATGCTCCTATTTGTCTAGGGCCCTTTTAAAGTGAGGTCGATACTGCATCAGCATCTCTGGAGGCCACCTTGCCCTGGTGACTCATGCTGAGCTCTGTGTCAACTAAAATCCCTAACTCTCTTACAGATAAAATGCTGCTAAGGCTTATACTCTCGTTTTATATGTGTCCAGTTGCTTTTGAGGACCCTGTTCCTGGACCACACGTTTCTTTTCAGTTTAAATTCATCATGTAGTAATAGGAATATTGTTTTAACTTGTTAGGACCCTTAAAAAAATCTTGACTTCCATGTAACTTCCATATTCTCTAGGATCCTTTTATTCATGAACCCTCATCCTAGCCTTTTATCTCAATTCTCATTTACTACTCTTTTAAGTCTCTTACCTTTCCTAGTTCTCTTCCCTTTGCATTACCTTCTTTATGTCTTCTCTCACTTGTAATTTTCATTTCCTCAATTGCAAGATGTCACCACTCTCTAGGGCTATGTGCTTGGGGATGTGTGTAGGAAACAAGGGCATATACATATCTGCATAAATGGAGGTGTGAGCAAGGAGCTGCAGAGGCTTGTCTAGTTTCTCTGTTTCTATTACTCTGTGTTCGACCAGAATTTAGAGGCCAGGTGGAGAAAAATGTCAAGGTTGAAGGAAGAGGGATAAGAGAAATTGGTTGAGAATCAGTCCAAGGGAAACAGGAAATATCTTCTGAGTCTGAGAAGAGCCCGGGAAACCTGGGTTGGATCGTTAGTGTTCATCAGAGTTGCAGCACAGTGAGAACGACTCAAGAAGGGACAGTGATGGAAGAGTTTTGAAGGCCTTATATATTGGATGAGGGAGGAGGATTTGGTTTGGAAGTGAGGACTTGTGGCATCAGTAACCATTTGAGAGAGCAGAGGGGAGGTGGCTTGAGACGGGAGGCAGGCGAAAGCTGAGGATTATAGGACATTAGAAGGGGCAATAAGCAATTCTGAGTATAACCATGAGTCTATGACTTATTAGCTTAGAAAATTTTCTCTGGCCAAAGGAGACCAGGACATGGAACCCTTGCCTATAGACTTTCATGTCATCATAGATGCGGCTCTGTGAGTGTATGTGGGCCTTAATAGATCCCCCAGTGAAGACCTTCAGAACACAGCATGTTCCCTCATACTAACTCCAGCATCGAATAGGCCTCCCTTTCACATTGGATTATATTCCAAAGAGAGAGTAAAAACTAGGAAAACTGGTGTTATCTTGGCCATTTTATGAATAAACATGGGAAATTCATTCTTAGGAATGGGCAACCTTTGGCTTCTTAACTCTGAAAATAATTAGGATACAAAAAATATACATATGCACATACAAAACCAATTAAACAGGAAAATGGCTGCCCCATATTTAAAATGAATGGAGCATCTGGGGGTAGAAGGGGGCTCTACTGGAGAGCTGAGGGCAGTGACCCCAAACAGCTAGTGAACAGTGATCAGGAAGGCAATGACCTGATGACTGTCATTACCCTTCTATCCAGTAGCCAGAATGACTACAGGGCAGCCTCAGGGGAGGGAAAAAGGAAAGAGGAGAAGCTCTATCTCCAATACTCAGGGTAAAACTGGGGAACCCACTCTCAGAGCATCAAAATCCCTGAATACTCATTGGAATTCCACAGTCTCTGAAGACTTTGCTGGACCAAGAAACCATCCATGCTGGGAGAGAATGTCTGCCAGCTCCTTTTCAACCTGACCCCTTCAAGTCTAAATTGACTTGAACTTCCCTCATCTTCAAGAGGGTTGCACTGTTGGCTTTTTGAAAGGGACAGGGTCTCTGGGCATACTTGAGATCTGATTTTCCCTTGGATGTGCTTGAAGCTGAACCTTTTGTCCTTCTGAAGGTGACGTTAGTCAGCCAAATGACAATCCCAACCAGAGTGGCCAGTGTAGAATTCTGACTGCAATCTGTTAGGCTCCAAAGAGGTTTCCTTTCCAAGCCAGTGAAATGACTAGCCACCAAAAGACAAATGGTATTCAAGAAAGCCCCCACCAATGAGCTACCACAAACTGGGTGGAATACAGAATGCAGGACTTGAGGGGTGGTGCTCACCTTTGATGTAGTTGAGGATTTGCTGGATTCGGTGGGGCTCATTGCGGTCTGGCCGGCAGCTTGGCGTGATTTCCAGCACATAATCAGGACCATATGCTGTGAAAAACTGTAAGGAAAAGGGAAAGGCCAAAAAACAAACTAAACCACATAAAACCTCCAAACCAAACCACATACAAACAGGACAATCAAAAGAAACTCACCACTACCAACAAGGCCAGGGAGGCCTCACTGGGTAGAGCAGGAGGATGCAACCTCCCCGTCCTTCTAGGCACAGTTCAAATGTTACCTCTTTCACAAAGCTGTCCCTTATTCTCCACCAAACCCTGTGCCTCCAGCATTCTGTTGGTAGCTCTCTTATGACTCTTGTTAAAATAGACAGTTCTGGCCTCCATATCATAGGCAGGTCCCTGTGCCAGCTGTAGTGGGACTACAAAGATGAATGAGGCTTCCTCTGTGGTCCTCTAGGTGTTCACTAGCACATTCTGCATTGGATAAAGAGTTTTCAATACTGACTGGATCTCCTACTTCCCCACTGGATCATCAGCTTCCTGAAGGCAGGCAGCCTCTGTGTTTAATTCATCTTTTGGACTCCATAGCTTATGATGGCTTCCTAAATAGCTTTGGTTGTCTTGAATTTCCTGCCCCAGGAATGCCAAACAAGTCTAGTTTCTCTATTTCAGTTTTTCTTTCTCTGTAGTAGAGTTTATTTGTTTTTAAATTCAGGGAATCAAAATAAAGGTTTGTGGATTCTATTTCTAGCTCACTAGATGACTCCTTGTGACCTCTGGTAAGTCACAGTATCTGATTCAGCTTCTCTGTTAGGGTCCACTTAAGAAAAACACTTTATGACAAAGGGAATCATTCAATTGGGATAAGTCTCTGAATGGGAAATATGCAAAGCTACTATTTCTGTTTAGTTTTTAACAGAAATAGTATTTGTGCATACTCTCTGGAGAGAGAGCATATGGTCCTTAACATTATGTGCTTTCAATAGTGATATTGTTAGGTGGTAAGCAAATTCCATAAAAAAGTGGTACAGTAGGCATGAAAATAGAGATGTTGATACATGTCAAGACTTTGATGCCATTCAAAGAGCTTCTTAGAAGTAATCCATGGTTATTGCCATTGCCACCAAATTATCTGTGTTAAGAGTCTGGATGTACATCTGGCACCGTGGGAGATGTTGTGGAACAATCTCTAGGGATTCTAACAGTGTCTTTGTGGAATCCATGGCAGTAATTTCACGGGGGAAATGGCTTTTTCACATCCATGTCAGAAAATTCTACACATTTAATTTAAAGGAAAATTCCCAGGACTGTGACACTGCTTCTAATGTCATTTGCTTGCACACATGTTTTGTGTGTGTGTGTGTGTGTGTGTGTGTGTGTGTGTGTGTGTTTGTGTGTGTACTGATGTAGAAGAGGAGAAGGGCTTAGGTCATTACTGATGGAGTTATTACTCTCTGATGCCTGATACCCCAGGTTCTGGAGATAGAAGAGTCCTTGAGTAGAGATCATCTTTACCCAAGCCTATATATGGAACAGATAAGAGGGGTTACCTGGGGGACACATCCAGAAACTAACCCCCACTATCATGGCTGAAGAAACTTGAGAGGCTTGTATTTTTAGCTAAGGAGGGCCCCTTGGTCCAAGCCTGAGGACCTTGTAGGCTTGGCTCTGGAAGAAAAGGCTTCAAACAGGTGTGGCGTCTTCTTCTTAGGCGGCCTCTTCTCCAGAGAGTGTCAAGTGGTATACTCATCTCATGGGTATGGAAAGACAGGCTTAGAGAGCACAAGAGAAGAAAGGCAGCTGCAATGAAGCATCTCCTTTGGGAGACCCAAACCTCTGGCATCAAAGTGCTATAAAAGTCAGAGGCAGGGTGCCTAGCTGAGGTATAGGAGGAGAGAATGTTCTGTCTCCACATGCAGAGATGACACTGCTGATCTTTGGTCAGCAAGGCATATCGTGAGCTGTTTCCTCAGGGCTGAGGGTTTGGAACAGCATGTCCTCACTTGTGAGTGCCTACCTACTATGTGGTTACCCATACTCTTCTACATTAGTCCTCTCTGACCCAGAGCACACTGTTGCTAACCACAAGTCAGCTGGGGCCAGAATTGACTGCCACGAGACAGAACTCAGCTCTACTAGGATTAAGCCTCTTGTCCTGTCTTCATTTGCACCTGGCTTTAACTAACTGAGCCACACAGTGGGCAAAGTCATAAATAACCCATTCTTTACAGAAGCAGACTGGCTACAAGTAACAGGCAAGTCTGGGTTCCTAAACTTCTCCCTGAATTTGCCAATCAAATATTATCCTCAGGTCTTGCTTATTTGCACTATTTTTGGGCTAGGAGACTCATTCGGTTTTAAAAAAAAGCCCTGTGTTGAGAGTTCCATATGGCAGCAGGCTGGCCTGAGTCTTGGGAGGCTCTGCCTGAGGTCAAGGGAAGAAATAGACACCAGGAAGTCATAAACTGTATCAAAAAGCAAAGCTGGTACCATGTTCCCTCTCTCCGGCTCTGTCATAGAATTTCTCTATGTGTGTGTGTTAGGTTATATTTTTATTTCTGTACTTGTTAGATCTTCCTTACTGGACTATGAACTCTGCAAAGGCAAACAATTCTGTTACATTCTCTATGCCTACCCTGTAGAGTCACTCAAGTTATCACAGGTTTTCCTTAAATATTTGTTGAATTTAATTAATTCACCAAGGGCTGAGCTAGCTGTTCAGTCAATTGTGTGGAATAATTCAGAGTCAACTGATAGCATGAACAACTTTTCTAGACTTTGGAAGCAGCACGATAAGATGGAAAGAGCACTGGCTTTGGGGTCAGGGAGAGCTGGAATTTGGTGCCTGGATTTAGCTATGTGCCTCAGGTAAGCTTGTTAATCTCTATTTCATCATTTCCACCAGAGGAATGATAAATGCTGGCCTGGTTGGGCTGTTAAGCACCAATGAGATAATATCTACCAAGGGATAAACTCAGGGCCCATGATATAGTAGGACTTCGATAAATGTGAATTCCCTTCTCCCCAGGCAAGAGGTCCTTGCCTAACCATGTCTCATCCATACCCTGAGGAATGCTGGGTGAAGTGCTCCAGGCTGAGATGTAGAAAGAAGAGCCTGTTCCTCCTGCCAGACCAAGCCTAGTGCCCCCAGTGTTCCTCCCCACTTGCTTAAGTCATTAGCTCAGCCTAGGGCATGTGGAGGAATTGATTTCTCTCATAGTTTCTGGTCTGATGGTCCTGCCACTTGTTAGTTACTGGTGAGGTAGAGAGGAAATATGATCACAGAAGGCAAAAGAGATGTTGGGGTGGAGGGATTTGGCCAGCACTAGAAATAGCTTGAGGCCCCACCCTGAAAGTGTCCTCCAGCCCCAGAGAGGAAAGGAAATGGGCACGCAGCGATCCCATTCCCAGACAGGTGGAGCAGGGGATGAAAGAGGCCAGCCGACCTTCAAGGGAAAACACTGGCTTTGATCTCAGTAAAGGAAGGAGGGAAGTGCTAACCCCTCTCCACCTCTTCCCCCGTTTCCCTCAGCACTCCTTTGCTTTCTGGGTTTGAATTTAAAATTTTTGAGGGGTGCATAGTAGTGGGAAAAGGGCCAAAGAAAGTATGAGTTAGGGCAGAGAAATGGAAGTTGAAGGTAATGGCTACTTTAGGGTAGTTGGTCTCTTCTTGACTCAAGTCAATGAATAAAGGAATATAAATAGCTCAGATCTAGTTTACTTCAGTCCAACTTAATGCTTCTTTCTTGCTCAATATTTCCAGCTCTTGTTCACACAATGTAAACAGCACACAATTAGACATTTGGTCAAAAAGATATCAGAACAAGGTTTAAAGTTGTTATTTCTCCATAATCCTGTTTGGTCACAATAAAACAAGCCACAAACTTGAATCAGCCAATTCTTTTATCCCTCCCTCAACATTTAGTAAGTACATACTATGTGCCAGACTAGGTAGTCTTTGGGGTACAAAGACAATAAGGAACGCTTAATAGGAGGGATTATTACAGAGCAGTGTGGTGAGTGGTATCACAATAATAACACTAAATAAAATAATGACAACTAACTTTTATTATAGGCTTATTGTATGTCAGGTACCTAAAGTGTCTAAGCATATTTTATGAATTGACTAACTTAATTCTTAAAACCAACCTATATGGTGGGTACTATTATGATTTTCATTTTAAGATGAGGATTTGAAGCATAGGGAACGTGATAGAAGTTGCACAGTTAGGATTTGCAAAGTTGGGATTTGAACTGAGGTCATTCCAGAGCACTAGCTATTCAGAACCTATAAACTACCCCAGAGGAAGTGACTCTGGAGTAGGGTCTGGCCAAGGGAGTAGGGGAATAAGAGGAAGGTTTTCCAGAGCAGCACATAATTAGCTATCATTAGATGTGGCTAGAGGGTAGAGACCAAGGAGAATCAGGACACGAAGCTGGAGGGGTAAACAAGAATTTCACCGTAAGCCCTACTAAGGCATTTTCCCTCATTGCAGATTAGTAGCTCCATGAGGGCAGAACATTGTTTTGAACCTTGCTATATTGCCAGTTCCCATAAAAATGCTTGTCCTTAGTAGGTGGTAAATAAATATTTGTGGGATAATGTGTAGAAGTTTGGTGGCGATATATGAAGGTTTTCTTTTTCTTTTCTTTATCTTTTTTTTCTTTTTGCAGTGCTGGGGATAGAACTTTGGGCCTCACTCATATTAGGCAAGTGTTCTACCACTGAGCTCCAGCCTCAGCCTAGGAAGCTTTTAAATGAGGGATTGAACAGGTCACCTGTGCTTTTGAGAGGGTGCACTGGCCTCCTTGTGGAAACTGTATAGGAATTAAAGCGGAGGAATGTGAATAGGGACACCAGTTAAAAGGCTGGTGCTATAGCCCTGAGGGGTGGTCATAGAGCTGGAATAGGGGCAGTTGTGGGAAGAACCAAGAAAGAAAAACTTCAAAGACAGCATCGATAGAACTAAACAGTAAATTGCACATAGGGAATGAGGAAGAGGAGAGAGTACTGTGTGGGGTAAGGGATGAGGGCATAGGAGAGGGTCTGGGGTAGAGTGCATGTGTGCGAGTAGAGAGAATTGGAAGTATGCTGAGG